CAGTTGTGAGGATTTCTGTTTTCTTTATGTTGAGGTGTAATCCATACTGAAGGCTGTGGTCTTTGATCTTCATCAGTAAGTGCTTCAAGTCCTCTTCACTGTCAGCAAGCAAGGTTGTATCATTGGCATATTGTAAGTTGTTATTGAGTCTTCCTCCAATCCTGATGCCCCGTTCTTCTTCATATAGTCCAGCTTCTCGGATTATTTGCTCAGCCTACAGAGTGAATAAGTATGATGAAAGGATACAACCTTGACGCATACCTTTCCTGATTTTAAACCACGTAGTAGCCCCTCATTCTGTTCAAATAACTGCCTCTTGATCTATGTACAGGTTCCGCATGAGCACAATTAAGTGTTCTGGAGTTCCCATTCTTCACAATATTATCCATAATTTGTTATGGTCCACACAGTTGAATGCCTGTACCTAGTCAATAAAACACAGGAAAACATCTTTCTGGTATTCTCTGATTTCAGCCAAGATCCATCTGACATCAGCAATGATATCCCTCGTTCCACGTCTTCTTCTGAATGGCTACTCTCAGTAGGGATAACTGTTTGATTTTTGTGCATAGTTTTAATTTCCAAAAGCAACCAAGAAGATTTTGGACCCAGGTTTGGTGAACAAGGTGGATAAAAACACTGGAAAATATATTGATGGACAAGCCTTCCCTCCCCAGCTACACTCCAGCTAGGGTAGTCAAAGGTTAGAGTTCTCACTTATAAGCTTGAAGCAAAAAGTCAGCTCAGTGGGACTTCGAGGAAAACTTTTGATTTCCTGATAAAACGGAACCGACTTGAACGGCAGAGTTTTCGCCCTTTCCTTTGCCCTTCCCCTTCTTCCCACCTAGAAAGGCCACCTTATGCCTTGAGGTGCAGAAGCCGTCTTGCAGTCCTAAGGCACCAAGCACAGGATGCAAGTCAACCCGGTTAGGAAAGTAAAGCACAAGGAGAAGGTGAGTCTGGGTGTCTGAGTGCATTATTGAAAGCTGCACCAACCCTGAGCTACTTACCTCCAGACTTCCTATAATAAAAGAAAAATCAGCCTCTGTTTGTTAAGCCACTACAACTGGGTTTTATGTTACTTGCAACCAAACATCTTCATAACTGATGGAACGAGAATGATTACAAAGGAATTTGATATGGTGCATTAATTGATATGGTGCATTAATTAATTGTGAAAAAAAAATTCCACAAAAGGGGTTCAAAATAATGTTAATAACAGCAGCACAGCTGAAATACACACATTGTCTCCTCGTTTAAGGCATTGGGTTGAATACGCTTTGGAGAGCCTGGAAGATCCAGATGGGCTGCCTGTGTCTGGTCTCCAAGGAGGGGGTCATAGCATTTGCACGCGGACCTCAATGGGCTGGAACAGTGAAGGAGGCTGCCTGAAAAAATCTAGAGGCTACCACCAATCCCCCAGTTGTTTTTGTTAGCTGCTGTTGAGTTGGCTCTGATTCATGGTGGCCCCCTGTATAACA